GTTGGAGGCCATTGCTATTAGGTTGGAGGTCATTGCTATTAGGTTGGAGGGCCATCGCTCTTGGATTGGAATATATCTATTACACCTTAGTTCTTAAGAGCTTTTTCCGCTTCTGAACGATCGGGAAAGGTCGGAGGTGAGGCATGGCAGCGGAGAGTTTTCCCGCGCTGCGAACGCTTGATGTAAAGAGCTATAGTGGGTGCAAAATGCATGGGCAAAGCCAAACAATGATCTGAAACACAAAAGGTTTGAGGAGGAAATCATAGGAAACCGCTAAAGTCAAACCGATTGAGCTCATCATTGGACTGGACCTCTAGGTTGAATTCCTGGACTCGGCAGCTGTTTCCAGCAACCAGAAACGGCCTCGAAACACACGGGTGGCGCGGTGCAAAGAGCTCGCTACAGCCATGGCGGGACGGCCCATCCCCAAAGATGTGAAGAAGCAGTGTCAAAAGGCCACAGTTTCTTGGAAAGCATGGTCCAATGGTTATTTTATGTTAACCTGCTCGTGTGAAGCTATCATTTCAATTGTTTTTGCTTTCTGGAGCATGAATGCGGGGTAGGATGTTGTGTGGTAGTGGCTACTCGTGGGTCGTGCCAGTGCCGACCTGATCATGGCAAAGATGAGGTCAAAAACACCGACATGTCCAATGAGATGAAAACGGAAGTGGTCGATATCATTGCAGGCGCGGCGTGGAACGGGGATAGAGCTTTGAAGAGTTCTGATACTCTTTCCAGGAAACTCAGTAGACACCGCATTCTTAAATAGAACGACACATGTTGGGCACTTTGTGGCTATCGTGCTTCAAGAAAACTCCAACCTTAGAAATCTCATTCAGGTCTCTTGTACTCGTACTGATTGATCTCATTATATCTCATTCGGATCTCTATAAGACAAGTCACCAAGTCTTCCAAGACCCAGAAGTCGCCCCTCACGTGCGGTGGATCTGTCCCGTCGATGGCACGGTTGTGCATGGTCGCCCCACACCGACGCAGGTTCCATCGACAAGTTCACGCTGCCCACGGGCGTGAACTTCGAGGGCGCCACCAGAGCCATCAAGGAGCGGTGCAGGTGGCGGGCGGATCCTCCGGTGTGAGCGGTCACGGCCGTAGGATCCGTAGGGCCGGCTGGCTCAGTCTTTGGAAGAAAACATCAAGGAGCTGTGCGAAACCGATGGAGGAGATATAATTGGGATAGAAGGGGGAAGGAAGCTTGGTTGAATGAAGAGCTGTGAGGATTTTGGATGAATTTGGTGCATCCTGAAGTGTGTTTGTTGGTAAAGTGTATTGTAGTTTGCCCTATGTCGTCCAGATCAAGAGACCGGGGTTTTTCAACGAGCTGGTCAACACCAGTTTGGTTTGGTTATGTTTGGTTGCTTTAAGGGATAGAGGTAGAAGATCCCCCAGAAGGCTGTTGGACCGCCTCACAGTACACCGTCGACAGCAGTGGTAAAGGAGGTTCCAAGAGGTTCCAAAGTCACTTAGAGTTTGGATCAACTTGTTCAAGACCCATCAGCTTCGAAATGCACGGAAATGCACAGATGCTTTGTGTACTGAGGTCTACCATCATGTTGCACTATGTTGTGCTGCCATGTTGAGGTTAGTCTAGTAGGTTGGAGGCCATCGCTAGTAGGTTGGAGGCCATTGCTAGTAGGTTGGAGGCCATTGCTAGTAGGTTGGAGGCCATCGCTAGTAGGTTGGAGGTCAGTCTAGTGAGACTCACCAGGTGTGACACTCCCATCAGTGTGAACGAGGGTTGTTCTCCATGCCGGAGACGAGGGTTGTGGCGACAGGATGCGTTGGACAAGAGTTATGGCTTCAATTGGCATTGTGCCATGGGCAAGGGGCTCCTTGGAGATTTGGAGAGTTGGCGTCTCGAAACCTGATGAAACATATAAAATCCTTCAAATTCCAGTCGTTTGAGGCGCAACAAACACGAAAACATCAGGATTCCTTGCATGTTAGGGGCACATCGGGTCTATTGAGTGGTGACCACCAGCAGCCAAATCTGGCGCAAGGCGTTTTGGGATGACGAGGATTGAAACTCTGCTTTGTCACTATAATCAAATCTGTTCAGGTCGCGGCGAACTCGTTGAGTGTTTGCGAGGCTGGAAGGTCAAGAGTCAGTCAGGAGCCAGCAGCCTGAAGCTCCAGTTCTCCATCGAATTGATGTCCGGTTGTTGGTTCTGCTTTCCCGAAAAACTGAGGTTCTGCTTCGATGTGACCGCACAGAACGGCACATTGATGCACTGCCTGCTGGCGAGAAGACCGGGCCATGTCTCGGGACGGACCCCGAAGGGAAAGAGGGAACCGACTCTGACCGCACTCGGGGGAAGATATGGGGAGATGATGGAAGATGACTTTCTTTAATGTGTCCTAATATGTCTTAAGCTTAATACACTTTTCTTAAAGAACGGAAGATTAGGGGGAAGATATGGGAAGATAGAGGGGCTTCCGCTTCCGTTCTTCGCCCATCACAGTGTAGATGCTACACATCGTGCTTCACATTGCCTTACATTCGCAGGTCTTTTGACCTCCTTTTCTTCCGGAGAAGATTCGCTAGGCGCTCACTCATCGCTGACATGGAATGGCTTTGAATTCACCTTTTGGAATTCCATATGACATGTCTGAAGCTCCCGGAAGCTGCAGATAGAGAGAGCGTGTCGCCTATTACCAAAGCGCTGCCTGGGAATTGACGTACCACTCGCGAGTGAAGCATGGAGAGTAAGGGTCATGTGTTTCGTAGAGGTGTCTATCTACTGTCAATTACTGTCATATGGATCGCATAGACCCAATTGAGGACAGCCAGAGCAGTATTTGGGTTCTGGACCATGCTATGTCCTTTCGTTGTGGTGTCGTTTCGGGCACACGTCAACTCTCAGAAGAAGTGCCATTTGCACCATAGATCCAATTGAGATCATTTGAGGTGCTTCCCCGACCACAGATCGATCCCACAAAAGCAGATGGCACTTGGGTCTCCAGGTCAAGGATCCCCAGAGCTGATGCGGTACATCTACGGTTCCTTCTCCAACCGAAAAAGGACCTTCCTTCACCTTCACCAGGTCTTCCTTGGCCCCACCTTCGCTTCTGCCCTTATGCCCTCGTCTTCAGACCGGTTTGGATGACCAACGACACCACTGACCGACACCCAGGTTACTACCAGGGTGAGCTGGCGATCCTGGTGTATAAGTGCTGAGCCAGGCTGGCCACGGCTGTTGCATGAGAGATCTGATCGGGTTGCTGGGGGCCGTGGGTTCTTTTGCGGGTGCGGGAAGGAAGTCATTTGGATAGTTTGTCAGAAGGGCAACGTCTAGTAAGTCTAGGACAAGGCATTTCCTGAACGGACTGCTATAGGATTTAGGCGCGTACCGTATACCGGATCCTCAAAGTCAATGACGAGGAGTAGGCGGAGTAGGCCAAGTGCCGCTGGGAGCTTCGGCGATTGGACCTGGAGATGTAAAGCACTCCAATCCTATTCAGGGTGTTCATGAACCATCCCTTGTGAGTCTTGGTTTCGAAGTGATGGTTGCAAGTGCAAATTAAAGGTCTTTTTCAGAAGATCTGACACTTTGGGTTCAGGGCATTAGAAAGGGTGAACAACCATTGCGTGGGACATGAACGTTCGCTCCCAACAAAATCTTCGGACTTGGTTGTCCAAAAGCGGAGATGGGTGGAATTCATCCCAAAGGGCAACAATCAGTTTCCAGATGCTCCATGGCACTGGCATATTTGCCGATCAAGCCAGGGGTGGTTTGGTCAAGGGGTCAATAGTAGGTGCTCACCATGGAGCGTTTGGGGTTGGACATTGTAATGAGATAAGCATTTCAACATGGTATTGGTATCCCTTGTATTCTATTGGGATACCATGGTAAGCCATGACATGAGGCTGCGATGGAGAATGGTCGCACTGGTTACGCGTTACCACACAATCCATGGCACGTCCGTGATTTCAGATTCTACGTGAGTCCCTCGCCAATGGTGCGCCCCTTTATTTCAGCCAAAGTGCCATCAATGCAACCACATAGAATGATCCCAGGATCACTCACCATATTTGTAGAGGCTGTTGATCTTCCTGGAGTGCGCCACGGCCGCCCTGTGTGAGGCCAAATCGCCCAGCGGAGTCGCGGAATGTGAGCAGTCTGACGAGAGCTGTCTCAAACATGCCCAAACTAGGGTTTGCCGGCACCCTCAACTGAAGTTCTACTAAAAACGCACCAGCAAAACTCACCAGTCATAAACACATATAAACACCAGTAAGGAGCTTCACACCCAATTTCTCAGCACCATGCAATTTCGATGCAAATGACTGACCCCGCACATGCATCGACGCAGAGACGGGTCAGAGGTAGGGAGGCCATGTAGATTCACCTGCACCGACGAATTCGCGCTTCCGTTTCACCGGTTTGACTGAACACTTTGGCCAGGTGTGACTCGGAAAGGTGAGCGCAGCGGGCGAATCATTAAGAATGTATGGCAAAATGCGATGTTTGTAGCTGTTGAGCTAAAACATGATGTTATTCGATGTGTTTGGCGTGTTTTGAGTTCCTTTATCATTCATCCAAATGCGCCAGTGTAGGATCGATATGAGTCCGCCTGCGGAACTTGGGGTTGTATGGCATTGTAGAGGTCGCTTGGCTAAATGATGATTTGCCAGTTTGGCTTTGACAGAACATCTACACCAGTCATCACATGTCATCACCAGTCATGGACGCCTACAATGTCGTTCATTCATTGCATCAAATCAAGTATATACAACAATATCAAGCAATCATGCGATTTGCCAACAAGGAGATTTCGTAGCGTGGCTACGCATGGCTTAGAGTATCGTTTGTGTTCTTCCATTTACTTAGAGGAACACCATGGAAATAAAAGCAAGGATAGAAATCTCATTGTTCGTCTCAGCCAACAAGGCATCCTATAGCCCTCGAAGATGCCCCACCCAATTGCTTGCCAAAGGTTCCCGAGTAAACCAGCCATATCATGCCATATCCAGTCACTCCAGCCATATCCAGCCATCCACACCTGACAAGAATAGACACGCCTGTCATAGATAGAAAAGTAGATCCCCACGTAGCAAAATGAGAAGAAACCGTGCCACTATGTGTCACGTGCTATCGAACCGGACACTTGGGGAAACCCGGTTTTGGGGGACCACCCGACACGTTTCCGCTTGGACGTGCCTCGGCCGTCCGCGACGAGGAGCAAAGCGACGAACCGCTCTTTGGGATCCCTCTCGCAGCTTGGAAATCGTGGTCCGTCCCCAGGGGCCGAGACTGCTAACGGAGCGGTCAGGGCATCGCTACGAACGTAGCTCCTGGCCTTACTGGTAACAAGAAGCTACTATAGTAACAAGGGCATCACTACTATGGATAATATATGAAAATATACAAGGGATGGAGAGAGTTGATGCACTTGGCAATTTGAGATGGGGATGACTTGAACAATCTTGGCAACGAAAGCGGGTCAATGCTTTAGTGCTTTGTAACGTGGGGTCCATCAGCGCCATCAGTTCGGCGTGGCCGCCATCTCCAAGGAACAGCAGCGGCAAGGCGGGCACCGCGGGCACGGGCGTCAAACGCGCGTCGACCGGTCTGCCAGGCCCAGGGGCACCACGGGGAAGGCCCCCAGGAGCTCCAACTAAGGTGGACTCTGTGATTCATCAAGCATATATACTATACTGTGTATATAAATAACATATTATATATCAAGACGTCAAGAGTCAAGAGGTGTGTTTTTTTCAATCTGAATGGGGGAGGGTTTATTGATCAAGCGTTTAACTTACTGGTTCTGTGGCTGTTGTGTGGAGCGTTTGACCTTCGTAGCTGGATGAGCTGCAGGGACCGTCGAAGGTCGACATGCTGACGGACCCGCAACGGACCGACGACGGATGGAGCCCCACAGCGGTCGATGGATCACACGTCAAATGACGTCACATGTGTCAGATGACGCTTCTGGTCATCCCCCGAGGACCATGGCATGGTATGCCCACCCAAGGTTGTTTTGTGTTGTTGTTGAACAATACTTGTTTGGGATGACAAGCTGGTTCAAGACATTGTGTTCCTTTTTGTTACAGCCCATCAGAATCGTCAGAATGGCATGCTTACTTCAACCCCTTCCTCCAGAAAGGGACTCCTTTGGGCAGTCCAACGCATTTGTTGGTTCGAAAGTGGGTTCCTTTGGCAGACTCATGTTCCTCATTGTTCCTCTAAAGCCCCAAATAGGTCCTTCCATGAGATACTGTACCAAGCTTTTACCTTTTGAGCCTTACCCGCCGAGAGAAAAGTAATAGATTTTGTTATTATGTTCAAAAATCCTGTTCACTTTATATAAGTATTGTGTCGCGAAACCACCACACTGAATTCCTCAAATCCGGACTTGGAGAAACCCCTAGCCAGTACTCATCTACCTATCTGTCCACATGACTGTCCACAGGACTGTCGACCTGCCTTCTTCGGACACCTAACCGACGCTCAGCGCCATTCGACGCTCAGATCACTGAGAAGCCCAGCTTAATCTCACCAGTCCTCAAGAGGCCGCGCGCGACGGAGCGGTCCGGAGGAGGCCTTCAAGGGGAAAACAACAGAATCACGTTTGGGACCAAGGTCTTCTCTTGGGGTCTCTATGTGGGTGTTCTTGTGATGTTTAATTGGTGTGTCCAACTGGGGGGTCAAGGGCGGGCGAAGAGACGTTCTTGGTCCAGCCAGGAGAATCTGACTACCAGACATGCAAACCCCAACTCAAATAATTTGAACTGGGTAAGCTTTGTGTCAACTGTGCCGTCCACTATGATCAACCAGATGATGTTGAAAGGCAATTAGGTTGATTTGAGGGGCCCTGAGGGTCCATCCTCTTTTAAACACAGGGGGACCCGGCCCTGCTTTTCAACCACCTCAAAAGAAAGGACCTTAGTGTGAGTAGCCTGGGACAGAGATGGGAAATTGAGAAAGCGGCTGTGGGACACCGTTGTTGACACCTACTTCTCCTGCATAGAAGCAGGAGGGCATATTCTGATTTACCAATCCAGTGGATGGGCACACGAGCCGCAATGTGGCACCATCACCATCAATTGCTGGTCGAACTCTTTGCTTTGGTCGCTGCTTTATCCGGAACAGATGTTGTTTCAGGCAATTGCATTTAGAAAGTCAAAAAAGCTGGCCTCATGACGGCCAGTACTGTACTCTATAGGCCCCTAGGGCATTGAAGCACATCCTAAATGACTCATACCGGAAACCCGGAATCCGGCGTCCCTATGTGTCCTTCCTGAAACATGCAGGCGTGCGGGTGACATGGCAGAGCCACCAGCGCCTGTCCCTGAAACGAAGGACTCAGGGATGCTCACTGGCAGTTTGGAATTGATTCCCCCTGCCCCGGCGGCTGTTTCAACGCAAACCGCTGAGTGAGGGAGTTTCGAATCGACGCCATGCCGAGATCGACGCGATGCACGTCAGGAGCACCCGGAGCCCATCTCCGAGGCGCCACAGGCGTGGATCCTTCTGGAGCCCGGGAGAAGTTTCCAAACCCCTGACGGAGCAAGGTGCAACACCAGGTTACCCATAATCACATGCAGAAGCATTGTTCGTTTTTTTAAAGTGCTTTTTTGCATGAAATCCAGATTGAGGGCAAACAGATGCACAAGAGAAGCCATGAAACGGTCATTGAAGAGTCGCAACATGCTGGTTCTTTGTTTTGGCAATGTTTGGCACCTGCGGTCAAACCAGCCAGGTATGATGAGCGGCTCATGCCCGCACCAACCCCACAGATATATTTAAGAACATCAATGTGGACTCTTGATTAGTACACGTTTAAAAAGTATGAATAGGTTTTACCATTTGGGTGTTATTATTCAAAAGTCTGCATGATATTGTCTTTGTGGCAGGTCCCAACCAAATGCAGGTGTCAACCCCTTGTCCCGACGAGACACATTCTTTTGCCCAGGCCCAGGAGCGTGCGGTTCCAAAGGTGGGATGTTGAAACGATGCAAATAGCAGCAGAGCCACAGAGTTGCAGCATGTTGCAGTCTAGAGTTGGCAAGCTTCTCCAATTCTCCACCCACAGTTCCGTGGAATGCTGAAGAGCACGAGCCAATTCGAGAGAAAAACGGTTGTCTAGAGTTGGCGACGGTGCATTTCCTGAGGAGTTGGCCATGTCAGTGATATTGTTTAGTGTGGTTTTCACTTGAGAGGATGTTTTGTGGAC